TACATTTCATACAAAAAGCATGATAAATCTACCCAAATTGCATAGATCAAAAAGCAAGCAAGATGCATAAAAAGTACAAGAGTTACATAATATGTGATTTAACCTCATCCCATTATGTAGATTACTGAGACGAAGATGTTGTAAAGGAATACTGACTGCAGGACCTACTTCTGTCCCTCTACACTGCTAGATGGAAAGGGGGAGTAACAGGGAAGTGACAAGGGACCTAGTGACTCATCTCTCCCTATGGATCCAAATTACCTGTGGGGGGAGATATACGTAAATATTTATATCACAGAAAATTACTCAATCCAGTGTTTCATTAAGTCCATGTTGCTCAGGTGCATTCAATTCCTGGATCCAAAATGTTTCCCTTCTTAAAAGTTGGTTGATCATATCACCCGCTCTTGGATTGGGTTGTATTTTTCCAATGCCAGCAAATTTAAGGGAAGTGACTGACCCATGTTTTTTCTCCTTGTAGTGTCTAGCAATGGCATAATCCATGGTCTCATTTCTAATGGCAGCCTTATGCTCAGCAATTTTCAGTTTGAGATGGACTTTTGTTTGGCTCACATACATTAAACCACAAGGACATTTCAAAATGTAAATGACACATGTAGAAAGTGTGTGAATGTATCTAAGATGCTCCTGTGGCCGATCGGCACCTGATCTTTGAGACTGGCTGTGCAAAGGGACTTCTGTTCATTTATATATTTCTGTCCTCCCTTATGGATGACGGCGCTCTCAGTATTCACCTGCCTATACCACAGGCCACCACTGCGTCAAGGTCATTAGGCACAGTATGAAAAATGGCAGTATTGATAAATTCACAACTTCCGGTCTGAAATATCTCAACAACTATTTCAATCAGGAGAGACATGTTTTTATAGTAAAAGAATATTTATTAACATGTACACATGAGAATGCAAAATGTGAAAAGTCTTTGGCGATTAAGGATGATGATGAATCCATAGTTGAATAGGGAACCCCCCTGGGGTCTAGACACTGGTGGTGGTAGAGGTGGTGGAGATGCGATGAGAGGAAGATGGAGAAGTGCAGATGATCTGGATGAGTAGAAGAGTGAGCCTTTGTTGACCTTGACCTGAGACAGGATCCGGAATTCGATGGATGTGCCTTTCCGTAAAAATAAAAGCACCAAGCTAATAAAAATGCAGTGAAACTTTTAATTTAAAGAATATAATTTACAAGAAAAGCCCCAAGCCATTAAGTTAATCGATTTTCTTACACCCCTCATCACCCCAAATCGATGGTGCGCCAGAATTTAAAGTTTTACTATGGTGAACACTTTTAGTTAGGTGAATTTGGTGAATACCGCATCCGCTCCCTAGACCGGAACCAGAATCCAGACAAAATTCAGAGTGAATAGACACCAGGCTCTCCGCTTGAAGAGCCTGGTGACGCGAGGCTAGGAGAGAGCAGATTTAAAACTTTGCAGTGGCATCCTGATTGGCTGAGAGACATTGTGGCAAAGTTTGATTGGACAACTAGAAGAGTGAACACCCATAGTCAGCTGATTAGAGGAAGCAATGGGAGTGGGATGGAGAGAGTTATGAATGACTTAGCACAAGAAAGGTCTTCCTGATTGAACTTACGCTGAGCTTCATTAAATGGAATGTCATGAATTTCTGACACAGTCACTTGTTTCACCAAGATGAATTTTACATTTTTGATCCCTTTTTTTTATTACTAAATATACTTACAGGCTGTTTTTAAATATTATTTTCTGTTTCAAAACAAGCATGGTTAAATCAGCTGTTCTTTTCAGACACAGTTGCTTTGTGCTGTAGAAGCTCTGCACTGATAAATTGAGCTATCTGTGACCAATGTAAATATCTTAATGTACATCATGTTACATTAATACCTAATGTAATGTACAGAGAGCCAGCTGATACACTCAGTGGCCACTTTTTTAGGTACACCTGCAATCCAATATAACTGTACTGCCATAAAGTCTAATTTTATAATGTCTATGATCTGTGTTATGGCGTCAGGTGGGAAATGTGTGTGTATCCTTAATGAAATCGACCACAGATATTATACCTGCACGATCTCATCTGTAGCATTTCATTAACTCACCGTCATCCAGGCGTTTGGAGAATAATTCTCCGGCGTCTTTGTGTTTCCACTGTTTTCTCCTCTGATTAAGGAACTCTTAAGCCTCTTAAGCCTCCTCACTGCGCAGAACAGTTTTTCACCTTGTGATTCTAATCCTGAATCTTCTACTCAGTGCTGACATCTCACTTAAAAGAAGAGCTCAAACAAGTCGATACATAATATAGATAGTAGCTATACTGTCTGAGGGTGTTTTTTTTCTTGAACTTCAGAGTCACTAAGGTGAAATGTGGGGTACAATCAGTGTTTATGCTGTTTAAATATGTGAATGGAAAATGGCTGAAAACTGGATGCCACTTGGCTGGCAAACAACGAGCCTCTGGCTGGAAGCGACAACTTTAGATGGCTGTAACTGTGTATTCTACTGTATGTATTTTCCACATTATAGAAAAAGTTTACTTTTATGGTACAATTATGAACAATCAGATAAATTTGGATTAATTGTATGGGTCAACACTTTTTCTGCTGTTGGTTTAACATTTACCTGGAACTAATATTAGTGACTGTGATGTTCTCACATGCAACGGTGGGAGAACTGATTTGTCATTATCGGTGTCATTGCTCTGTGGTTTTACAGGTGCAGCAATACATGTCCACAGTTCATCAGAAGTGCTGATTGTTTACTATAACTGACCAGACGCTCCCACAAAACCGAAAAAGAGGAATCAGTGAGGATTATTTTATGAAAACAGCAGTTCATCAAAGGAACTTCTTGGTCTCATTAACAGGTGAGAGAAATGTTATGATTTTTGTAGTTATAATACCTTTTGCTGATGCTTTTTTCATTGTGATACCAGTATTTTAATTTTTTTCACTTCATCTAGTGACAGTTAACACAATCAGTGCTGAAATTGGTTATCATTATTCTCGCCCCACCAGGATTCTTCTGTTTTCCAGAGTGAAAATGGCTGATTATCAAATGACCGTGTCCACTTCCTATCTGGATGATGCCGGCACTTGTGACCATATCTTCATTAAGCTGGTGGGAAAGGATGGTGAGAGCGCACACACGAGGCTCATGGACTCCAAGGGAGAGTCATCCTTCATCAGAGGAACAGTAAGTCTGACATATCCCTCTCTGTGTTTAAATGTATAACACGCATCCTCAACTTTACCTATACCAGATTATATCCACAATGAATAGCAATTTAGAGAAGATTATGTAAACTCTTGCCAACTCAGACTTGCTGTGACACGACATGTGCTGCTGTGCAACTCTTCAACCTACAGCCACAAAGATGACCGAAGCTCAAAAAAAAAAATCCCAAAAAAAGTGTAATTTATGCAGTGTACATACTGTGCATACTGCACAAGTTGTACTTTGTCCACCCTTCTACATTCAGTAATTGTATGCTAAGCATTGGGTTACTGCTCATTTCTTTGTTACCAGATACACTTTATCTCTCATATAAATGTTTTCAAACCATTTCTGTCTTTACTCCAGGTGTCTACTTTTACCGTGTCCTGCCCTGTCTCCATTGGAAAGCTGGTCATGATAAAGCTGGACAAACAGCCTTCCCAAAATCCGGACAAATGGTTTCCCACCAAGGTGGAAGTGAAATCCCCTGAGGGAGACACCTTCAAGTTTCTCATCTGCCGATGGATCACTGACAGCAAGGTGCACAACTTCAGAGAGGGAATAGGTTTGTGGAAATGTGTTTGTTTGACATCCTGTATGTTGTTTACTGACCACAGAAGAGATAAAAGAAAGACAAGTCCTGCAAGCTGCATTATAAGGAGGCTGGAGTAAATTAATTCCAACATACTGTAAACAATTTTAAACTTTGTTGTAGCTCCTCCTTCACGTTCTGGGAGTGTTTCAAACATAGCATTGTCCTTTTCAGCAGGAGTAGTACTTTATTTTGTTCCATGTTGGCAATTTCCCAAAAATAATGCACATAAAAAAGAATAAATAACAAAGCATTACAATGAAAAGGAAAACAAAAATTACTGACTGAAAAGTTGTAGGCTGAAATTATTGTACTTACTCTTTTGACATAGTATATACTATTAAGCAACCATGTCACTAGATTTTGGCCGTGCAAAAACAAACAAAAGAAAACAAAACACAACACAAATAAGGTTCCAAACATTTGAAACACAATAGTAATAATCATACTTTTTAATATGTTTGCCATGTGATTTTTAAACATCTTTAAAAGTGAACTACATGCCTTGCCGCATCCATTCCACAAGTAAGCTCTTT